AACTCTTCCTAGCCCTGGCTCCATCATGTGTCCCAAGGGGTCATTAGCATCCAAGTGAATAGACAAGAGCACGTCCAATCTCTGTTTTTTAACCCCAGTAGCATCCACCCTGACCTCTCAAGCTGCCTTTCAGGAAAAGGCTCAGCCCAAAGGTTATTGGGGTCATTAGTGCCAGGATACTTACAATCTAGTTCTGGATGAGCAGATGCATACACATTCTTCACCCCAAGGGAAGAACATAGCTGGATAAGGCTGCAGCTGGACCCACAAGAGGGGCCCATCTTGCCCAGGCCTAAAGGCTGTTCTGGTCGAATCAGTTATCATCACAACAAGGATTCATTTGAGAAGCTCATGGAATCTTCAGATCATCTGGAAGATCTTCAGGTAAACCAGATAGAATGACAAAACATTTTGCTAGTTTTAACTCTCCAGAAAGCCTCTGAGCTGTTGGTTTTGAAATTCAATATAAAACCATCCTGGGTGCATCAGAAAGTTCAAGCAGCTTTCTTGGAATCCAGCACACAGTCCTAAGAAATATGTGACATGGTAGTATACCTACTAGGCCTGTTCCTGGATTGGGAGTGGGGGGAGGGGGTATGTAGATGGATGGATAGTGACATAGCAGTGCTCGGGGTACCCAGTTTACCAGATGCATCTCAGTCCATCACTTATCAGCTGCGTCTCAGCAGGCAAATAACCACCAACCCCAAAACAGTTCTGCTCATTAGTAGGTCTGATGGACCACAACAGGAAGTGTGAAGGATACCAGTCTGTCATGGTTAATTTTGTGTATCAACCTGGCAGGACCACAGTGTTTAGAGATGTGGATAAATGTTATTCTGGATGTTCCTGTGTGGATATATTTTGATGTTAATGTTTAAGTTAGAGATCTTTGAATAAAGCAGATTGTCCTTCATACTGTGCGTGGGCCTCATATAATCAGTCAAAAGCATTAATAGTACAAAAAGACTGACAGTCCCTGAGTGAGAGGGAAATCTACTGCTGATGGTTTTCACGTTTGAACAGAAACATGGGCTCTTCACCTGATCTCCGGTCTGCCAGCTCATCCTGAAGAATTTGGACTTGTTCAGCTTTCACAATTACATAAGCAAGTTCCCCAACCCCACTCCCCACCCCTAGAGAATTCTGGTTAATGCCTGGCCTTTTGGTGAATTTCATAGAGAGCTTGAGCTCATGTTAGCCACATAGAGAGTTCATGATGCACATAAACTATTATCTAAACTGAGCAAAGTTTCTGGGTGCCACCAAATCCTGAGATCTACCCAACTTCTCTGGGCCTCTATTTCCTCATTTACAAAATTGCAATCAGAGCATCTCTTGCATGATCTGAAAAGGATGCTTGAGTAGAGGATGTTTGCAGATAGCTAATGTAGCACCTGGAATTCACTCTCTTACTCTTCTAACAAGGCATGTAGTGACTGCACCACTCCTCTGTGCCAGGCTGAATGCTGGGGACACAAATGGCCAAAGATCTTGCCCAGGGGGAGGAAATTTTCTAGTCCAGAGAGATCAACAAGAAAGACGTCAACAAGAAAGTGGAATTATTGTACATCTGGGCACATCCTGTACAGGAAAGACCATGGGCCATGTGATCAGGATGCCAAAGCGAGGCAACGAGAGAGTCAAATGATGCATGGGGACACCCTCCACCAGGAGATAGCATTGCTTTGGAGGGGAGTGTTCGGGGCCCACATCCATCAGTGCTCAGCGTGTACTCCTGTCTTTGTGCTCAGGGATCATTCCTGGTGCTGTTTGGGGGACCATATGTGGCTCCAGGGAATTTCACCAAGGAAAGCTTGGTAGAGGCAAGTGCCTTATCTACTGTTCTATCTCTTCAGCCCCCATAGCAAGGCTGGTGTTGTTGATAGTAACTTGAAACCGTGCAGGAAGTCAGGGAGCACTAAATCCTGGCTTAGTGTTTGTGCAATGAAGCTTCTCCAAAGGCATGTCCCCAGCTGGCTTGTGGTCAGTACATTTGGTCTGAATGTATTTGACCACAGATGTCCTTGATGTCCCTAGTGTTTCATAAAGACTTGATATCGTGCCAGTGACTATTTTAACTGGAAATATTTAAAAGCTATTTGTCCCCCAGAAGCATGCTGATTCCAACTTCTGGGATACAGCCAGCAGAAATGCTGACTGATTGGCACCTCACAAGGCCCGGGTTGTCCCTTCCCCACTCACCCATTCAGCAAATGATCATCAGTCCCTGAGCTTTGCAGGACTAATGTCTCTAAGGAAACAGACTGATGTCTACTTTATTGTCTAGAAGTAAAATCAGACAGACACATTTAGTGGAACGTCACCCCTTAGAGTCTTTTAGAACAAGAGTATGAAACTATTCCCATAACTTAATGCACCATCTCCCTAGGATTCTGAAGAAATGCATTGTGACTTTGGTGGGACTCCATTTGGCTCCAGGGTCTCTAACTCTCTCTCTGATAGGTGCTCCTGAGGTGGGAGTGGGGGCAAGACAATGGGCAGCAGACCCAGTTCCTACACAGCTGAGTCCAGACTGGGATGCTGCTGGTCTTGGACTATGGGATTCAAACACCCCACTCAGTGCTCCTCAGGCCCTTTCCTGTCTCCTCTCCACCCCACCTCGCCAATGTCAGCACAGTTCTAGATGGGAGAAAAATCTCCCAGAACCTGCGTCCACACCAGAGGTAGATGCAAGGGAAATTTTAAAGGAATTTAAGCAGCACCTAATACTCCCAGTGACTAATCTTTCCTCACGGGTCCTCTCTGCAGCCTTGCTTGTAAGTGGTAGGGCCTGGACAGGGGGTTTCCTCAGGTGCTGGGGTGCATGGAATTGGACCAGAGGCTGCTTCTGCAGCTGCCCCTGACTGGATGAGAAGGCAGCAGCTCTAAGTCTGTGTGTGGGGAGGGTGGTGGGAAAGTTGTTCCACTTGCATCAGTGGGACTAGGTGCCAGAATGGGGTGCCCTTACAGTGAAGGGAAGCAAAGAAGAGCAGAAAAGGAAAGTGGAAAGAGAGGGTAAGGAAAGGAGAGGGAGTCAGCCAACAGCCAGCCAGAAGGCCTGTTCTGATGTTTTGACTTACTCTATCTGTAGAAGAAAAAAGCAGGTCATGCAGAGCCCAGATGTTCTAGTAAATATTACTTCTGGGTATGTCTGAAAGGGTGCTTGTGGATGAGATCAGCATTTGAATCTGTAGATGGCACAAAGCAGATTGTCCTTCCATGTGTGGGTTGGTAACATTCAGTCACTGAGGAAGGTAGAATCCCTCTCTCTGACTGCTGGAGCTGAGTCTAGTCTGCATTTCATGGGAACTTGACTACTGGTGCTCCCAGTTCTGGCTGCAGCTGTGCCATCAACTTTCCATGGGTCTCTAGTTAGCCAAGACCATTAGGTGAGACTTCTCACCTTCTGTGACCACATGAGCCAATTCCTAATGACCTTGACAAAGAGACAGAGAGATGATAGGCTAGTAGAAAGGAAAGAAAGAAAAAGAGAGACAAAGGAAGAGAGGGTGGAAGGAAAGAAGAAAGGAAGAGCAAAGGGGAGAGAGGAAGGGAGAGGAGAAAAGAGCAGGGGAGGGAAGGGGAAGAAAGAAGATTGACATAATTTACATTTCTCTTCTTGGTTGGTTCCCTGGAGAACCCTGGATAATACAAGCAACTATGCACTATCAAATGTTCCCTACTACTTTCTTATCACAGAGCTTCAATTATTTCCTTCTTGGTACTTACCACTGTCTGCAGTTACAGTTTGACTTATGCCTAAGAATATAAAGCCCTGAGAGATCCTGTTTTCCTCACTCGGAGTGCATCCACGGTACCTGGACTGTGTCTGCTCCTCATCAAGCATTCATGAGTTTTGTGGGAAGCAAAGATGCACAGAACAATGAACAAAGGAAATAAAAGGAATATATTTGAGAAATAAGGAGAGGTGATTCCCAGACTATCCCAAGGTTTCTCTTAAGCCCCTCATTCAAGTTTTCGGTCCCAACAAGGCCCATAGCCATTAACACATGTCAGTTTGGATTAACCCGTATGACATTGCTTCATACTGTCACTGATAAATGCAAAAGGGTTGCATTCCATCTCCTGGAAAACACTGGCTGTCGCAGCCCATGCTCCAAAGAAATGTCACACCCACCCTCAGGCCACCACCAAAGGTCTTTTTAGGCCATGTCCCAGATTGTTCGTTTGCTTTCACATTTTGTTGGTCTGATGCAACCTGCCTATTGGAATGCTGGCCTCTGGGAAAGTTTGGCGCAAATGCAGATGACAAGAAGGACACGGGGCCAGCACAGGAAGTACGCAGAAGATCCTCAGGGCAGGTGGAGTGGCAGACACAACAAGAAAACCAGGTGGCTGGCAGGACTTGACAGAGAAGAGAGACTCTAAGCAGAGCCTTCCCGGTTGTCGGAAGGGAACAGAGGGCCTCTGTGAGCTGCTACTTTTTAGGCGATGGATCAGATTTGAGTTCTGTTGACGAAAGTTGCCCCAGCCCACTCACCAAAATAAAACAGCAAGCACCCCTTGGCTAGTTCTTGACTGTTTCTTCAGAACCATTTTACCTAAAAATAGGTTTGTTCTCTGCACGGCATCCCAATGTTTCTGAAGCCAAAAGGAGCAAATAAAAGCACGTCCCCATAGAGAGGAGAGGGGCCTGAACATGTATCTCCACTGTCTGAAATGCAGCATCTACGGAGCAAGAAGGCATGTCTGGTTTCCCCGTACAGGTAAGACACAGGGAGCCCAGGATCGTCTCCGCTCTGTGCCACAAGCCTCACACTCCCAGGGTTGCTTCTCAGCTGGCAACTCTGAACCTGATTTGACCATTACCTCCCCATGAACACACCTAGAACTAGGAGTCAGGCTTTCTCCCGGAAGTCTTCCTGGACTTCTCTGCTCTGCAGAACCTAAGCTCTGAGATGACAGGTCCCACTGATTTCCTGGGGGGCAGCCAGACACAAAGCAAGGGCTGCCCTGGGCACTAATGGGGATTTTTTATTCCTTTTTCTTTTTCAGCCTTTCCGTCTCTTTTCGGAGGCAGCCCCCGACAGGGGCACTAGAAGACGAAGAATGGGAGGAGTGGCTCAGTCATCCTCATCCTCATCATCGTCCTCAGTGTCCTTGTTGGGGGTGCATCTCTGGAAGCACTGCACCACGGTGGCCAGGAAGAAGCTGGAGATGATGGCAGCAATGGACACGGCCACTCCTGAGAAGATGATGATGAACAGGTCCGTGAGAGAGAGGCTGAACTTACACTCGCTGAAGCTGGCTTCGGAAAGCTCATGCAGGAACACCCTCCTGTTCTCCATGGGCAGCGAGCACTGGATTTCTTCCAGGCCTGTAAAAAAGGTGGGAAGAACCAAAGAGAGGTTTACGCTACAGCACAGGATGGCTTGAAGTTGGGAGAAGGGGGATGGCTAGTCAAAGTTTACAAAGCACAAGGTAGGAGCATTACCCTCCACATACACACACACACACACACACACACACACACACACACACACACACACACCAGAAATAGAGGGTGGGGGAGGGGAGTTGGTTTGAATGGAACTCAAGCTCTTTTATTTTGACCCTATTACTGTCCGAAAGGGCTGGAGCAATAGCACAGAGGGTAGGGCGTTTGCCTTGCACGCAGCGACTCCACCCAACCCAGGTTCAATACCTCAGCTCCTCTGGAGAGCCCTGCAAGCTACTGAGAGTATCTCGACCCTCATAGCAAAGCCTTGGCAAGCTACCCATGATGTATTCAATATGCCAAGCACAGTAACAACAAGTCTCACAATGGAGCCATTACTGGGCCTGCTCCAGCAAATCGATGAACAACGGGAGGACAGTGCTACAGTGCTACTGTAAAAATCCGAATGGGGTGGTGCAATCCCTCTAAGGCGCTGCATTCTCCAGTCTGCATTGTGCCAGCTAGTGACAGATTTGCCATACCACTTGCTTAGGGTGTAGAACATCCTTTCAACTGTCTGCGATCTCTGCTCATCTTTGGCTTTTTTTCAATCCTCAGGAAAATCTTTAATGGCTTGCTCTTTTGTTTTTCTTCTAGTGCTTCCTGGTTTCAAAAAGCTGGCCCTCAACCCCATCTCCAGCACTAGTGGAAAGTCAGGACCATGCTTTCATACCTTGCTAATTAGCTGATTGCCGTTCTGCCAAGAGCAGCCCTGTTCATTGCATGCAAGCCTGTCACCACCTTTGAGGGTTTTCATTTGTGTATCTTTCCATCACCAGCTCAGAAACAGATGACGGCCGAAGCTTCACTCTGGGCATCCTCTTTCCTTCTGCCCTGGCTTATCTTTTAAGAAGTCTGCAGCCAACCCACTGATGCTCTCCTCTCCATGGGAACCATTGCCTAGCAACCAGACTCACATCCCCTTCTCTCTCTGAATCAACATCTACTTACATTCCCAAGGAATTAGCCAGACCAGAGTTCTACAGGTTTCCCCAGTTAAGACAGGCCTACAGCTTTTGATTGTTTCTTTTCCTTTATGAGACCAAATATTTATTGTTTTTTTCTGAGCCTTTCAAAATGAATTTCATCAGACCAGGAAAGCCGTCCACAGAGTAATATTAAGATTTGCTTGCAGACACATTTTCTTCAATGGGAAAAGTAGAAAAATCAATTGACCTGCCTCCTCTTAACAGTTTCACTGCACTAGCAAAGCCATTATAAACATAAGCAAGACAGACACCACTGCATAAAGCACAGGCAGTTTACAAATATTCCAAGGTAATATTTTCCGTCTTTAAACCCATAACAGGTCACTATTTATTGAGACGAACTTTGTAGGAGACACGCTCTTCAATGAGCTGTGTTAATTGGTAAACCAGCACCACAAAACAACACAAGCCTCTACAACATGTCCTTCAAATCCAACCCTGTCTGGCCAAAACTCCCCAAGTTGATTCTGATTTCTACAATCTTCTTTTCTTTTTAGTGCCTTGAGATTAGGCTTGGCATTTTTATAAAGCATTGCTTTTAGAAAATGTCATCTCGCATTTTTCTGTGGCTACGGGAAATAAGCTTGTTTGGAAAATGCGGCACACAAGCCCACCTGAGCTGGGAAACTCTGGAACCACGCTTGAGGGAGCTGGTTCGATAAGATACACAGGCTGAATTGGGGATGGGGGGGTTGTCGCCCACAAAGGACAGAGTAATAAAAAGAAACCCAATAAAGAAAGTCAGCTGGGCCCAGCACGGGAGCGGGAGGGGAGGGAGTGGGGCAGGGCATTGCTCTCAGGCTGCTCTAAAGACACACTTGACATTAATTGTAGTACTCAAGAACCTCCTTTCCTGTGGGATCTTTCCGTAGAGCAGGATTTCTCACCCTCACCCCCATTGACAAGTGGGGTTTGATTATTGCAGGATGTGGGGATTCTGTTCTGTATACTCCAGGTTGATTAGAGCAGCATTTCTCAACAGGAGACCATGTGGGATCCCCACATATTCCAAAGGAACCACAAATAAAGATCACTGTAAATCAGAGACCACAGAATGAGACTAGGGGACCAAATGATAAGGGGGACATGGGGGAGGTATCACACCAGGTCAGAAGGGGCCACAGATAGAAAAAGGTTGAGAAACACCAGATTTGACCATCCTAGGAGAGGCCAGTGGTCCCAACACTCAGTGTCACAACAAAACTGCCCCCAGACCCTGCCACTTGCCTCACAAGAGGAAAGAAAAAGACACAAAGTCACACAAGAACCCCTGCTCTAGACCAAGCAGTTTGGCTATGTGGGTCACTCTTAGTTATTAAATAGGCATTTGGGGGGGCAGAGTGATAGTACAGTGGTTGGGGCATTTGCCTTACAAGCAGTTGACCCAGGTTCTATCCCCATCATCTCATGTGATTCCCCAGCACCACCAGGGGTAATTCCTGAGTGAAGAGCCAGGATTATCGCCTGAGCATCTCCAGGTGTGACCCCAAAAGCATAAATAAATAAATAAATAATAAAAGTCCGGAACAGAACAAAGTGGGAACCCTCTTCTAAAAATAAATAAGTAAACAGGCATTTAGTGGGTCAGACTAACAGAACAGTCTGGGCCAACCTGGGTTCAATCCCTGACATATCAGATGGTTGCCAAGCACCACCTGTAGTGATCCCTGAGCACAGAGCCAGGAGTAAATCCTAAGCACCACTGGATGTGGCCCCCAAACAAAAATAAAACAAAAAAGGTAAATAAGCATAATATTTTATATTATACAATAGTATAATTATTATACTTCTTTAACTCATGCATTAAACAAAGTGGGTGAGGCTTTAAGCTCACTTCCTGTACCAGGACAGGTACAAAGACTCAAGGAATTCTTAGGTCTAACAAGACGTAATTCAGGACATGTGCACAAAGTTAAGGTAGAAAGTGTAATGTCCCCACAGCGGTCAGGGAAGCAGAAAGAATGGAGTGGTGGGAGGGAGGCCGGAGGGCAGTGGACACTGGTGTGGGTGTGCAACAGTGAGGAGGGGAATGTCTTTCATAGCCCTTCCTGCTTTGGAATTTCCTCCCTTCTTTCCCAACTCTTCAACTGTCTACCAACATGATGCAAATGTGTCTTCCTGTGTGGTTACACTTTCTTGTGATGTCACTTCCTCTGTGAAGTCACTTTCTATCTGGCATTTCATGTCCTATGTGTCAGGTGCCCCTCTCAGAGGGGGGACAAAGAAGTCAAATTATTTGACTAAGATCGAATCCACCAGAAATGATTGAGGCAAGAATTACTCTACCCACTAACTCCAACCATCCCATGACCCCCAATGAGGCCCAGAGCTGCATCAGGCTTTCTGTGCCTCAGGGAAAGTTCCCATTAGGCCAAGTGTCTTTGTTTGTTTGTTTGGGGGACACATTTAAAGATGTTCAGGGTCCTCTCCCTGGAAAATGCTCCAGGGTCACTTTCATCAGTGTGCCAGGAACTCACTGGTGCCAGGGATAGAATCCAGATATATGCAAATCATGTATTCTGCCTTTTGAGTTCTCTCTTTGAACCAAATGTCTTTTATAGAAATGCCCTAGAAAACCTCTAACTAAATCTCTTAGTCTCCTGCTCTGATCTGAACAGACTCGAAAGGTCAACCCCTGCCAGAGTTTCTTTAAGGGCTCCATAGATGCTTGGAAATGCAGACATGACTATCAGAGCAGACTGCCAACTGGAGCTGTCTCCACTGCCTGATGTGGTCTGACCCTGGGCCAGCCTAGCCTCAGGATGATGTGTGAACACAAAATGAGGGGACATCAGAAAAGCTCTTTGTACAGTGCCTGCTCGTTCATGCTCAGAAAGGAAGAAAACACAATCATCATTCAGATATTCCAAAATTCAAATTATACCCACATTTGACTCAAGAGATCTGAGGAAGAAGCTGTATGAAACAGAGTTCTCTCTATATAGATACAATAGTATGTATATGTAGGTGTGTGTGTGTCTGAGCATATCTGAATAGAGATGCACACATACACATATATATGCATGGTTGTGTGGAAAAAGAGAGACGCAGACAGATACAGAGAGAGTGAGAAAGAGAGTATGATAAGAAATGAACACAAGATAATGGAGTCTGAGAAATTCCAGGATGTGCAGCAGATAAGCAGTAGGTGGTCTAGCTATGTTCCAAGGGCCAGCAAACTCAAGATCCAGGAAGATGGTTGTTTCAGTTTGAATCTAGAGACAGAAAACAACTAATGTCCAGCTCAATAATGCAAGCTAGGAGGAGTGTCCTCTTATTCAAAGAGGCAGCTGTGCCATTCTAACCATCCTCAGCTGACTGGATGAACATTGTAGAGAGCAACCTGCTTTACTGGGTCTCCTGATACAAATGTTCATTTCATCCAAGAACATCCCATCACCCAGATACACAGAATAATGCTAGTGATTTTGTTTCTGTGCACCATGTGGCTCAGCCAATTGGCATGCAGAATTCACCACCACAAGTGCTTATTCTGTCATCTTTGAGTGTAGTTTGGCTTTGCATTTTCAGCAGTAGCCAGAGAGATGTTTTCCTCATTACATGAGACTGAGGGGAGAGTGGACTTGTCTTCTTTCCTTTACTTAAGAAATATAAGTTAGGGAGGTAGAAAAATCTCCAAATCGGAACCCAATAGGGTCTCAGCAATGTCAAAAACTGATGATCTGCATGTGGAGAATCAGTCTTCAGACATCTGAGAGACAGTACTGGGTTCAGGAACTGAAGAACCAGAGTTCGAATCCTGACACCCTGACCAGGTGACATTGGTGGCACACAGTTTTGCTGAGCATAGGTAGCACTGTTGCTGCAGATCAGATCATTGAACCATCTGGCTTAGTTTTCCAAGTATTGCCAGGGGTGACCACACCCCCA